GCTCGCCCCTACAGTCTCCCACAGGATGGTCGCTTCTGCCGTCTATTTTACCCCTTTGATAGATTGCCTCGTCTCTGTCCTCTAGCTGTCGTTTCCTAACCATGGGGCCAGATTCACGAAAGCCCTTACGCAAGAACTTACGAACCTGTACATCTTTTCTCAATCTTTGGCGGCTTCGTTTAAAATTATTAAACAGTTAATGAGCTCCGAAGCACCAGGAGGCTGTTTATAACAATAACAACAGTAGAATGGGAAGTTTCCATGCGTGTAAACTGTTTAATAAATGTAACTAAAGCCGTCAAAGATTGAGGAAAGATGTACACGTTCGTAAGTGCTTGCGTAAGTGCTTTCGTGAATCTGGTCCCAGGGTTGCAAGTGGTCTGCATGTAAGCAAGCTTCTTCCCTTCTTCTCCCTGGGAATAAGTCACATTTGTATTCCTCACAAGCCACGTCTTAGAAGTGTGGCGGCGGCAGCAAATAACAGAAGACCTCAGACACGGCGGTGTAGCCCAGGGTGTACCTCCCCCAGGGTCCTTGCAGTCAGGGGGTGGCCGCCTAGTCTCTACAGTCAGGGGGTGGCCGCCTAGTCTCTACAGTCAGGGGGTGGCCGCCTAGTCTCTACAGTCAGGGGGTGGCCACCTTAGAATGGAGCTGTGACCTCGACTGGTTGTTCTCATAAAAATCAGTCGAGATACCGAGGAGGCCACAATATACATATGTCCCTAATTACTACGGTCAGTGTGGTGGTGTCTGGCGTGGTCCAGGAGGACGACGTGGCTGCATCAACACGAGGTGGACTGTGAAGAGTACCGTGTATAGTGTTGCCCTCGCTCACAGTCTATGGTCGGTGAAGTCCCAGCCCTCAGGATAGTCTGATAACTATGAAACTTTAATGTGTAATACTAGGACTCTGGATCTATACCGGCGTACTGGCTTAGTGCTTTATCCTGTGCGATGCCTTAGGGGCCCTGGGTGAGGAGGTGTTACGGTTGACAAGAACCAGACCCAGCCTGGACACGGCTCCTCGGTCGTGTGGACCTCACATCCTCATGGAACCCGTTCTCTAATTACGCCGTGTACAAAATGCAGCGGTTTAGCCTGATCAACACCTAGGGTACTCACCTGACCCACCGGAGTCCATACTTATTAGTCCCAGGAAGCATCAATATTGCGGGAATTTAGTTACACACAAGCACCTTTTTGTGCCGGAGTCGATTGCTTAGAAACTGTAGTGGGTTGACCGTGCCTAGTAGAGTGTTGTGTGGAGGTAGAGTGCCGGCCACATTACACCCTACAACGACTCCTCCACGCTGCGTCACACTATATTATGGGAGGAGTGAGAAGCCATCGTGTAGGGCCAAGTGCCTCACCCTTCCCCCGTCCTCCTCTGCGTCCCAAACCCGACCTTCCATGACCTGCATGGACATTACTGGGCCTCCAGTCTCTCGCCTGTTAGAGATAATTCGATTGTAATTATACTAACAGTTTAATAACTTAATGAGGTGCTTTGTAATTTTTTTAAATTATTGATTTGTCTTGTCCATCATGCAATAATTATTTTAGTAAAGTTAAAGCGATTTTGTTGTCTTTTTTGTTTATCATTCCAATCATTCCAGCGGAATTAATAACCACAAAATTTCCCATAAATTAAATAGTGTTTACCGTTGTGACGAGAACGAGGGAGGAGAGTGGTGGTGCAGCTGGAGCCTGGGCTGAGACCCTCACCAGCTGCCTCCTGACCTCCCCCCTTCCCACCTGTATACCAGACGTGCTCCTGGAGTGCAAGGAGCACGGGTGTTGTCAGACGAATTTACGTAATGTGGAGAATTGCTTGACTCTGTGAATGTTAACTCTGGTTGTATAAAATATCTCTATAATGGTGATAATTGTTATGGTGACGGCGCCGAGCAAAGCTCACTTGTCTGCCTCGCCTCGCACACTGCCACCATCTCTTTGTCTGGGTGTTAATACCAGGCAGCTTGTGTGTCTGAGGCACGGGCACCCTGTGTGTCTGTCCGGCTGTGGGCGTCTGAGGGACGGGCACCCTGTGTGTCTGTCCGGCTGTGGCCGTCTGAGGGACGGGCACCCTGTGTGTCTGTCCGACTGTGGGCGTCTGAGCGACGGGCACCCTGTGTGTCTGTCCGGCTGTGGGCGTCTGAGGGACGGGCACCCTGTGTGTCTGTCCGGCTGTGGCCGTCTGAGGGACGGGCACCCTGTGTGTCTGTCCGACTGTGGGCGTCTGAGCGACGGGCACCCTGTGTGTCTGTCCGACTGTGGGCGTCTGAGGGACGGGCACCCTGTGTCTGTCCGGCTGTGGGCGTCTGAGGGACGGGCACCCTGTGTGTCTGTCCGGCTGTGGGCGTCTGAAGGACGGGCACCCTGTGTGTCTGTCCGGCTGTGGCCGTCTGAGTGACGGGCACCCTGTGTGTCTGTCCGACTGTGGGCGTCTGAGCGACGGGCACCCTGTGTGTCTGTTCGTCTGTGGGCGTCTGAAGGACGGGCACCCTGTGTGTCTGTCCGACTGTGGGCGTCTGAGCGACGGGCACCCTGTGTGTCTGTCCGTCTGTGGGCGTCTGAAGGACGGGCACCCTGTGTGTCTGTTCGTCTGTGGGCGTCTGAAGGACGGGCACCCTGTGTGTCTGTCCGACTGTGGGCGTCTGAGCGACGGGCACCCTGTGTGTCTGTCCGACTGTGGGCGTCTGAGCGACGGGCACCCTGGGTGTCTGTCCGACTGTGGGCGTCTGAGCGACGGGCACCCTGTGTGTCTGTCCGACTGTGGGCGTCTGAGCGACGGGCACCCTGTGTGTCTGTCCGACTGTGGGCGTCTGAGCGACGGGCACCCTGTGTGTCTGTCCGACTGTGGGCGTCTGAGGGACGGGCACCCTGTGTGTCTGTCCGACTGTGGGCGTCTGAAGGACGGGCACCCTGTGTGTCTGTCCGACTGTGGGCGTCTGAGCGACGGGCACCCTGTGTGTCTGTCCGACTGTGGGCGTCTGAGGGACGGGCACCCTGTGTGTCTGTCCGGCTGTGGGCGTCTGAGGGACGGGCACCCTGTGTGTCTGTCCGACTGTGGGCGTCTGAGCGACGGGCACCCTGTGTGTCTGTCCGACTGTGGGCGTCTGAAGGACGGGCACCCTGTGTGTCTGTCCGACTGTGGGCGTCTGAGCGACGGGCACCCTGTGTGTCTGTCCGACTGTGGGCGTCTGAGCGACGGGCACCCTGTGTGTCTGTCCGACTGTGGGCGTCTGAGCGACGGGCACCCTGTGTGTCTGTCCGACTGTGGGCGTCTGAGGGACGGGCACCCTGTGTGTCTGTCCGACTGTGGGCGTCTGAAGGACGGGCACCCTGTGTGTCTGTCCGACTGTGGGCGTCGGAGCGACGGGCACCCTGTGTGTCTGTCCGACTGTGGGCGTCTGAGGGACGGGCACCCTGTGTGTCTGTCCGGCTGTGGGCGTCTGAGCGACGGGCACCCTGTGTGTCTGTCCGACTGTGGGCGTCTGAGGGACGGGCACCCTGTGTGTCTGTCCGACTGTGGGCGTCTGAAGGACGGGCACCCTGTGTGTCTGTCCGACTGTGGGCGTCTGAAGGACGGGCACCCTGTGTGTCTGTCCGACTGTGGGCGTCTGAGCGACGGGCACCCTGTGTGTCTGTCCGACTGTGGGCGTCTGAGGGACGGGCACCCTGTGTGTCTGTCCGGCTGTGGGCGTCTGAGGGACGGGCACCCTGTGTGTCTGTCCGACTGTGGGCGTCTGAGCGACGGGCACCCTGTGTGTCTTTCCGACTGTGGGCGTCTGAAGGACGGGCACCCTGTGTGTCTGTCCGACTGTGGGCGTCTGAGCGACGGGCACCCTGTGTGTCTGTCCGACTGTGGGCGTCTGAGCGACGGGCACCCTGTGTGTCTGTCCGACTGTGGGCGTCTGAGCGACGGGCACCCTGTGTGTCTGTCCGACTGTGGGCGTCTGAGGGACGGGCACCCTGTGTGTCTGTCCGACTGTGGGCGTCTGAAGGACGGGCACCCTGTGTGTCTGTCCGACTGTGGGCGTCGGAGCGACGGGCACCCTGTGTGTCTGTCTGACTGTGGGCGTCTGAGGGACGGGCACCCTGTGTGTCTGTCCGGCTGTGGGCGTCTGAGGGACGGGCACCCTGTGTGTCTGTCCGACTGTGGGCGTCTGAGCGACGGGCACCCTGTGTGTCTGTCCGACTGTGGGCGTCTGAAGGACGGGCACCCTGTGTGTCTGTCCGACTGTGGGCGTCTGAGCGACGGACACTCTGTGTGTCTGTCCGACTGTGGGCGTCTGAGCGACGGGCACCCTGTGTGTCTGTCCGACTGTGGGCGTCTGAGCGACGGGCACCCTGTGTGTCTGTCCGACTGTGGGCGTCTGAGGGACGGGCACCCTGTGTGTCTGTCCGACTGTGGGCGTCTGAAGGACGGGCACCCTGTGTGTCTGTCCGACTGTGGCCGTCTGAGGGACGGGCACCCTGTGTGTCTGTCCGACTGTGGCCGTCTGAGGGACGGGCACCCTGTGTGTCTGTCCGACTGTGGCCGTCTGAGGGACGGGCACCCTGTGTGTCTGTCCGACTGTGGGCGTCTGAAGGACGGGCACCCTGTGTGTCTGTCCGACTGTGGCCGTCTGAGGGACGGGCACCCTGTGTGTCTGTCCGACTGTGGGCGTCTGAAGGACGGGCACCCTGTGTGTCTGTCCGACTGTGGCCGTCTGAGGGACGGGCACCCTGTGTGTCTGTCCGACTGTGGGCGTCTGAAGGACGGGCACCCTGTGTGTCTGTCCGGCTGTGGGCGTCTGAGGGACGGGCTCCCTCCGCCTGTGAGAATGACCGCTCGTGTCAGGCTGCTGCCTCACTATACGTACTGAACATGTTCAGTTATTCTTAGACATAACGTTTTGTATACTGCTCTCAAACTGTAGGTGAGGATGAGATACTGAATATATTAGTTAAGAATATATATATTAAGATAATATTAATAGCGACTTTCTTGACAG